AACAAACAGGAAAATTATCTTTTAGCCAACAAATGAAGATGAAGAAGTTCCTCTTTACAAAATGAGGCAACCATGATCAAAATTTAACACATACAAAGGCAATACAGACTGAGAAAAGTTCCCTGAAAAACAGACACAAAAAATATCTTGTTTCTGGGATGTTTCCATGGTAGCAGTAATTTTCTCTCTCATTCTCCTGGCAGTTGTTTCTGATGTGACTCTAATGTTACCAGTGAAATTTAGCTATGAAAACTCATAGGTTTTTTTCCTATAGAAGTGTCCCTGCTCTGACAGCCTTAAGTGAAACATAAGAGCAGTTATCCATAGGGAAAATAAGTATATCATGCACTCTTCCTCCCATTTCTTTTTTGCAATAAATAACACGACTGCAGCAAATCTGCCTTGTTTATAAGCATCCCTAACCTTTTACCTTGTGGAAGGAACCAAAAACACAAACAAAACAGCAACGAAGGGTAAAATCCCAAACCCATGGCAGTCCTAGTGACTCTAGGGACTGTTTGCATGCGGATCCATCCGGGAAGGGGCTCGGAGGGTGTTTGGTCCGAGGGATCCCCCTGCCCATCCCTGAAGCGCTGTGAGCGGGCACGGCTGAGCGCCGCCGCTCCCGGGAGCGCTCCGAGCCGGCAGCGCACGGACACAACAGATATCCGGTACAATACATATGCATTTATACATGCAGACATGCATCTTTATATGTGTATAATACATGTAGTGATAGGGGTGCATTTTGTAGAGATGTGTTCCCTTGCAAGCCCAGTCCCGGCACCACCGGCTCAAGGTGCGACTTCACCGCTCTCTCGGTGTCGGATCCTCCTGCGCAGTCCTGGGGCTCCCCGCATTCTGCATCCCAACCTGCATCCCTGCATCCCAACCTACATCCCTGCATCCCAACCTACATCCCTGCATCCCTACAGCCCGGCGGCCCTGCAGCCCTACCTGCGCTGCCGCCGCTCCGCCGCTCCGCCGCCTTCAGCACCCGGACAGCGCCCGCTTATACCGCCCCGGCCGCGCGTCACGGCCCCGCCCCGCCCGGCTCGGCCCGGCCAGGCCCCGCCTTGCCCGGTACGGCCCAGCCCCGCCCGGCTCGGTCCCGCCCGGCCCGGTCTCCGCCGGAGCCTCCGCGACCCCCAGCCCGGGCACGTCAAACCGGCAGCGGGAAAAGGACGGGATGGAAACAAAAAGGAGAAAAGTAAAAAAATATAGAGGGAAAAAAGGCACGAGGATAAACAAGGAGGGAAAAGGAAGGCAAGGAGGAAAGGGGAAAAGGTTTAAAAATAAAAAAAAAAAAAAGAAAAAGGCAGAAGTGATGCAGTCAGTGCCTTCTGCTTCTCAGGCTGGGAGGAAGGACTCGATAAACCCGACCTACACTTCGTCGGGTGGGTGCAGAGCAAACTACCATGCCCAGGGCTGTGGGGCAGTAGCGAAGCCCGAGGTGATGCAGCCCGGCTGTGAGGATGACTCTGCACCCAGGGTCAGTGTGAGTGTGCCTGGCTGTGCCCGTGCCTTGGCAGGAGACGGCCTTTCAACAGCTGTGGTCAGCAGGGGTTTTTTATTTTTTCTCTTTAGTTCATTGACTGAGCTGTTGTGGCACATTTCTGGCTTTGTCACAGGGCAGGGATAGTTCATGGCCGTGTCATCAGTGTAGGAGGCTCTGGGGCTCTGCACCAACAGAGATGGGCTGAGGGGGAAGGACACCCCTCCCTTGTTTGTCTGATGTAGATGAACAAACTGAAACGCGGTGGAGAAATAGAAGGCAGAAGGTTCCTCCTGCTCCAGCAGCCCCATCCCAGCTGTGTGCCCTGGCTGTGGTGGCTGTGACATGGGACAGGGGCCAGGCTGGCACTGCTCTGGGTGGGGATGGAGCCAGAGAGGGACTGCCCATCCCTGGGGCACTGCTGAAAAGGCCCTCATGGTTTTACCTCCAATTTCAGCACTCAAAAAGGGCAGCACCTGCACACCTGGATCGGTGGAATTAGTAAATACCACCATGCCATAAATCACAAAACACAAGATGTAACACATGCTTCAGCTGATGCTCAGAGTTTTAGCTTGCTCCTTCTGCTTCCTTTCTATTACAGAAAGGTTGTTTTGCTTTAGCTTTTAAATAAGGATTCCTTTTCCCCCAAAATAAATCTTTCCTGACAATTTTGACCTTTTACAGCACAAAATGCAAAAAAACCTAGGATGAATGTACCTTCCAAGCCAATAAACATTACAAAATTAAATTACTGTAAGAACAGTAAGCTAGAAATAATTGTAGCCATGAACAGACAACAAGAAAATCCTGGCTGCATTTGCTGTAGCTGACACAGAGATCTGGAAATAAGAGATCTTGATTCACCTCATGTAGTTTTATGAGTAAAATACAGTATGAGTTTTTGTGCTGAAACTCTTCAGCAGCAGCTTTATTCTGGCCCCAGATTCCATCCAACACACACACACACTTTCATTAGCAGACCCAGGAAGAAAAGAGCCCAGAAAATACTGCATTAGGGCCTGTGATAGCAGCCCTGAGGAAGGGAAACAAAGGCAATGCTGCAGCGAGCTGAGGGCAAGGTCCAGGTGCCCTCTGAGCAGCTGGTGCTGAATTGCTGAGCACCACATCCCTTCAGCAGGGCTCTGAGCACAACATACTGAATTGCTGAGCACCACATCCCTTCAGCAGGGCTCTGAGTGCCCACAAAACACAGCTCTGCAAACACTGATACACCTCAGCCCATGGACACAACACCCAATGCAATCAGATCCAACAAACAAAATAATAACAAAAAACAGCCAGCAGAAAATTACTCCATTCAGACTTTCAGGATTTTTTTTTGCTTCTGCAGGTGTTTCCAACAGGCTCTTGTGCATTCTGTCACCAAATGAGTAATACTCATGGAGCAAATTCTTTCCCATGAAATCATCCTGTTGAAACCCCTCCATCCTGATCCCTGATCTTCTGCATTAGAGCACATTTCAGACAAACCAAATTATCTGGCACATGAGCAAGACTCCGTCCTCCTTAGCCACTCACCTCAGATTTACAGCATGTAAAGTCAGCCAGACACTTGGCTTAGGTCTCTGCTGTGGCTATTCTGGGTTCAGTGGATAAAATTTTCCAAAGGCTCTCTACAATCCATCTGTCAATTTTACTCCATATCAAAAAATGTTGCCTGGACTTTGTGCTTATGATTGGTTGCATCCACACAGCCCTATAAGGAGGAGCCCTAAAAGTACATTACTGAATGTACTTTTTTTGGTCATATTGAATGTACAGCATTCTTTTCCTCAGAATGAGTCATGCAACTGAAAATTGGATCTGTTCTGTCATCAGAAGTTCCATGGCATTTTATACAGGAGTAAGATCACATCAGAGCATCTCTCAATTTTAGGAAATTGCATTAGAATTAGCTCAATATCAACTGCTTAAGCAAAGGAGCAGGGTAATCTCGTTTTTCTGAGTGAATTTTGACCATGTGCATCCTTTTGTGCATCCTGGGAGCAGCCCAGCTCTATCTGCAGTGATTTCTCTCAACAGCTTGCCTTGTCACATGCTCTCCCTCTACCTAGTCATGCATCATGAGAAGACAAAAGTTAATCAATCAACCCTGCACCTTGCAGAAAAGGCTTTTCTTTCATTCCATGCAAGAAGGAGGGCACGGGGTTGGGAGGGGAACTTCGCTGCAGCAAACAGAGGCTGGAGGGCTCCAGCCCACTCTGGTTTGTCACAGCCCAGCTGGAATATCCTCATCCCTGCAGTCAGTGGGGAAAGAACAGCCAGGAAACTTGTCTTGAGGAGGAAACACGGTCTGGCAAAGGGCCCTGGGGTCCCTGTCCTTGTGCCCAGGCCCCAGCACACACCAGAGTCACAGCAGCCCACAGACCATGGGCTCCCACCACACCTGCCCAGCTCCAGCAGAGGATGGAACGATCATCTTGCTGGGATAACCATCCCAGCAGAAACAGGGAGGCAGCACATTTGTCTTTTCTAAACACCAGAATGGTTTCTGCTTCTGCAGCTCTGGCTCTCTCCTCCTCTAATTGGTGCCACCAGGATCAGCACTGCTCAAAAATAAAGCAGGGTTGTGTCAATATTGATTATTTCCCTCCCTTCTTCTGTTTCTAGTGGCAACTAAAAATAATTTACAATTCATTACAGACGTGACATCTCCTGCAGAATAAATGCCATTGTCACATTTAAAATTCAATCCATATCTGACTTGAATATCTTCATTTTCTCTGAATATAATGAGAAAGAGGAGGGTTTTTTTTCTCAGAAAAAGCTCATCTGCCATAATAGATACAGATTCATTTAAATTATTTTAATTTTAAAATACTTGAACTCTGCTTGTATCAACATCAGACTCGTCATTTTCTGCTCATTTTGCATGCTTGAAAGATCAATCATATTTGTATGCAAATATTTTTGGCCTCCCTAAATTTAGTGCACAATAAATGGCTCAAATTTCATTTCCAAAGCCATAAGGGGAGGGATAAATACAGCATTGTAAGGAAAAAATAAGGGTCTTGCAGTTTTTAACCACAGTCCTTTAAAAGCAGGGATGTCAAGGCAAGCATCCAGTGGCTGTAGATCACTGCACTTTATTCAACGCTGCAATGAGATTAGGCAGGTTTAACACCAGCCTGTCCTGCACACCTCCCTCAGGGGACATTTCAAGAACAGGAAAAGCCAAGGAAAAACATAAAAAACCCAAAATCTGGACTTTTATCCAACATTTACAAGTTCAGGATTTCTGCTTGCTTATATAAAAAAATAACAGAAGAGGAGCCTTAGGCAAGGCTTGGCTGTGGGTGTGCCCCAGTGCTCATGGGATCATCCCTTGACACCAGGGCTGTGCCACCCCTGCTCAGAGCCCTCCCTAGGGCTGTGCCACCCCTCCAGTGCCACCTCTGCTCAGAGCCCTTCCCTAGGGCTGTGCCACCCCTCCAGTGCCTCTCCAGCGCCTGCAGGAGGAGCCCAGCCCTGCTGCCTCACTGCTATTACCTGCCCAGTGTCCCACACTTGCTATGGGATGCCTGAATTTCAGGATAATCTCTCCACCCCATAGGAGAGATCCCCCGCTCATGGGATCCATCAGCTCAGCCAGGGCCAGAGGGCAGAGCCTGGGCTGGAAAAGCAGCAAAAGCATCAGATGAACCAACAGGGAAAGAGTTTGCTGCTCCACTTGTTCCAGTATAGCAGCCTCCACTTTGAGTCCCCTGCACAGGAATAGCAAACACCAACGGATTAAGGAATATATGCCTTCTCATAGAAGCACAGAATTATTTTTGTCTCCAGGCCTCCCACACACATACTCACATCTTTTCTCCCATGGAGTTTCAAGGCTTTTCACGAGCCTGTGACATCTGCTTACCAACATTTGGTGTAAAAATATCGATATCTGCTCTGCATAGCTGTTCTGAGTGCTACATTTACCAGCCAGTAAAGATCAGGAGTCTCCTGGGAGCTGGCTGGATCAAACTGTCATGATTTCAGCACTGCTTTGCGTCAGACAGCAGAATTTAAAGTCAAAACACAGATAGTTCAGGGAGGAAGACAATGTGAAGCCCTGAGTCATACCCTGCTGAGGGTGAGGAGAACAGATTAATAGACAGCAAACATGAATGAAACTGAAGGGCTCATTTAGTCATGCGGCTGCTTCTGAAACCCAAAATAGGATTTATTTTTAGTCGCCGGGCATGAAAAGAGGATTTCTTTGCACTTTGCCAAGGAGAAGTTGAGAGAAGAGTTTTAATTAGCATGGGGCAGGCTCCCCTTTGCCTTGACACCCCGAGGGCTCGGCTGCAGCACTGGCTGTGCTCAGGCTGGGGCTGCTGCTCTCAGCCTGCTCTGACAATTCGTCATCCAGGGCATGCTGCACGACCCAGCGGCTCTCAGCACCATTCACACATGGAAGAGGCAGCCTTTACTGCAGCCCCAGCCCACTCTGCCAAAGCTGAGGCACAATACTCTGCTTGTAGCCAGGGGCTTTGTCTGGGGAGCTGCTCTGCTCCCCACTGCTGGCTCATGGGGAAGGGAGGCAAAGTAGCCCTGTCGTGGCAGCTGGAGAATCTGCACAGGCTGACCCCAAAGCATTGGAGATTACACAACTGAAACCCTCCAGAGCAGCAGCAGCCAGCAAAACTGGTTTGGCCGTGCCCTCCCAGTGCATGCCAGCTGCTCCTGCCAGGATCCTCAGCTGGTGTGAGTGCCCAGCCTGGGGTTTTGGCCACCTTGGAGTACCTGGCTCAGCCAGGACTGCCCTTCAGTGATGGTTTCTCATGAGAGAACACAAAAGTTCTACATGGGAGGGGAAAAAAGTTTGCACAGCAGTGATCTGCACACACATTTATGTGAGTTTTCATTATAAATAAACAGAGAGAAGTGCTTTCACAGCTGTGCATGAGATTAGGGCCATTATTTAGTCCTCTGCTAAGTCATTCAGCAATTCTGCTCTGCAGAAACTTCATGATCTTGGGGCTAAGTCATTTCCATTCCTTACTTACATTAAACCCTCATTAATTTTTACATTAATCTTTCACAAACATGAAGAAGCTCAGTGATTTTGGATCTGTGTGTCTCTGGCAGAAAAGTGCCCATTTTGTTATCTGCTGCCTTGTCTGACAACACAGAATGGGGGTTAGAGGAGCCAAATTGCCACTCCAAATTAACACTTCCTCTTTTTTTTGAGAGTCCAGCCATTCCCAAAGCACGAGCCAGCATGCTGGCATTACTGCACATGGGCAAAGGTTCGGCCATCCCCAAGCCATCAGGGCAACAGGTGCTTTAGCAATGGAGCATGTGAGAGTTTATGTGCTGAAGTTTGGAGGGCAAAAAGCCCAGCTCTGCTCTGTGCCATAAAACATTATCACCATTTTCTTGTGCATTGTCCTTGTCAGGGTCATTTGTTTCCCTGGTTTCATCACAGCTCATTTTGTGACCATAGGTTTGTCCTTTGCTCAGTACATTTGTGCATGAATTCCAACCCTATTGCTACAGTAATTTATACAGATCTGGGTCAAAATCAAACCCAGTATTTGGTCAAGAATGTGACAAAAATAGGCAAAAGAGACTCAGTGCAAGGCACAGGACAGAGACAGTGTTATGGAATTCCCTCCTTCTACAAGAAAAGAGGAAACAATTTGATTTGTTAGCTTGTGTGGACAAGGCAAAACCACTTCATGACGTGGCCTTTTTAAAAAATATATACTAAATGAAAAGTTTAGTCAACATAATTACAAGTGATTGCATCAAAAAGAGAGCACAAATTCATGTCCTCCCACGTGGTTATGGCTGTTAGCATTTGTCACAACAGCATTAAAGCAGAAATCTTGTTGTTTTAGGGTTCAGCTGTGCTGACACTGATTTTCAGGATGTAGACCCAAGGAGAGCTGGCTGGCTTCAATGGCAGCTTCCCTATTCAGTGGCTGTGAAATGAAGGCAAGCCCAGAGTGTCAGTGCAAAAAGCAGAACAGATGCAGGTTAATCATTTACCCCTCACTGCTGCAGGCTGTACTCAGGGGTGAGCACAGAGCCAGCACAGCCCACTGACCCACTGACACCCACTCCTGGCTGCTGAGGGTGTAATGCCATCCAACAGGTGTGCAGGAGGCAGATTGTGGGCAGCAGGAGGCAGAGAAATCAAACAGTGATCTGTGAGCTGCACAATTCCTCAATGGACAAGTGTACATGGAAAGGCATCATGCTCCATCCAGCTGGGTACATGGCACAACGTGGCATCCATCCACTGCAATATTAAGAGCTCTGTTAACATCTGCAATTTGCTTTCTCTTATCACTCAGTCATGGAGAGGTCTCTTGAGGCACGAAAAGACTGATGGGCAGGCTGCTCCCTTCTCTGGCAAAAGTCAAAATACAAGTGGTGACATTGTTTCTCCAAAAAGCCTCCAATCGACAGGACAACTACTAACATTTCTGCAAGCTGGGAAGAACATTTGTTTGGATGTCCAAGCTGTTTTCGATAGCAGTCTCACACCTCTCTCAGCTATAAGAGCCTTGACTGGCAAGTAAAATCCATATAATCAGGTGAAAATGCTGTGATTTTCCCCTGAGGTAAATACTTTCTGTCTTACATACCTGACTGGTAAGTGCCTGAGATGAGCTGAGTGCCCTTCCCAGCCCTGAGGCTCCACTTGGGAGGGTACATTTGTCAGAATTGTAGCTGGTGCCTTTATTTTGAAGCAGTTCTGGTGCTGCCACTGTGCTGCAAAACATCACCCCAGGTCCATCCCCACAGCAGCAGGGCTGCAAAGCCCAAAAAGCACAGCCCAGGAATTGCTCACAGATGCAGCCTGCATCCCCAAGGACTCAGGGGCCATCTCCCAAAAACACACCAGGTATCCTGTCATCTGCTCATCCTGCATTCAGCGTGATGCTGCATCATAGAAGTGTTCTGCCCTCCCAGAATAAATGGTTTAAAATTCAAGGCAAAAGCAATTCATTGCAGCCGTTTAAAATCAGGTCACGAAGCCCTCAGTGAATTGCTGTCAGCACCACCCCAGTGTGGCTCACAGGAGCTCCTGTGTGGATATGGGGTCACAGGGAGCTCTTTGGCTGCCTCTGGGTTTCCACCAGAGCACCTCAAAGATGGACCAAGAGGCCAGGTGTTCTGCCTGGAGATCTTGTCTGAAGGACTAAATGGATTCCTTGTGCACACCAGGAGGTTTCCACCTTCTGTTGCAGATGTAATATTGATGAGGTTCTCAATTGTACGTAGCCATTTCAGGATGCTATTGTATGAAAAACACACAAACAAACCAAACCCAGCCATTCCAGGTTGCTGATGCTTACTTTGGATCAGGGAGCCAGGACCAGTCTGTTTGCTGAGGTGGATTCTCCTTGGTTTCCCCCAGTGCAATGAAGCCTGTTGGTACAGAAGCTTTGTGGGGCCCCTGCTGGCTGGGCTCTCTCAGTTCTTTTTCCTGGAGAAGCATAGAGAGAAGAAAGAGAAAACAATTCTCATCTCTACTTGCTGCTCCTGTTGCTTTTGCACATGTGGAATGTGTCAAGGAGATTGGTTACCTGAAGTGATTGGGCAATTGGATTCTGCTGAGGATTGTTTGGTTTCATTGGCCAGCTGGAAAAAGCTGTGTCCTGGCTGTCTGGGGAGAGTCACGAGTTTTCTTTAGTATGTAATTATAGCATAGTATCTTTTTAGTTTAGTTTAGTATAGTATAGTATAGTATAGTATAGTATAGTATAGTATAGTACAGTATAGTATAGTATAGTATAGTACAGTATAGTATCGTTTTAATATAGTAATAGAATAATATAATAAAATAATATAATAAAATAGTATTGCAATATTGCATTATAATAATATATAACATAGTAATTATACTATAATACAATAATTATAATATAATATAATATAATATCATATCATATAATATAATATAATATAATATAATATAATATAATATAATATAATATAATATAATATAATATAATATAATATAATATAATATAAGTAAAGCAATTGTTCAGCATCTTGAATGCATGGAGTCAGATGCCAGTCACTCCCTGCATCAGGGGCACCCTGTATTACTGTGCCTGGTGGTCCTGGCAGGTACAGACTTGGTCCTGTGCACAAGCAGAGCCCCCTGAGCTCCTGGGAAGGACATCAACCCCATTTTATGATATTTTTCGAAGCACGGGGGTATTTTGTATGGGACAGGAAGAAATGGGGAGGAAGATCTGTAAAGTGAGGAGCAGACACAGCAGGAGCTGGTAAGAGAAGGCAGCAGGCAGGGATGCAGCTGCAGTGCCTGAGCCAGCAGAGCACAGAGACCAAACTCCTCTGGAAACCACAGACACAGGCTGGAGCTGGCAGGAGCAGATGGCGCAGGAGCTGAGGCAGGAACACTGAGCCTCTCTGGGAGGCTCTGTGCCAAGGAGGTGGCACCAAAGGGTAATTAGGCTGATGAGCAGTGATATGAAATGTATCAAATGAGGCTTAAATGTGAGAGCAATCGTAGGAAAAATTAGTTGAAGGGAGAAGCATAACAAAGTAAATCCCAGCACAGGGAAGCAGAAATACAGAACCTGCTCCCAAAAGTAAATCCATATAAAAACTCCACTTATGGTTCCTGATTTTACCTACCAAGCACACATATGAATTCTAGCCATTTATTTGCTTTTAAAAAAGCAGTAAACCCACGGGATTCAAAATATATTCTTCAGCTGTAATGAGACCAAATATATTTGGAATGTGCACAAAATTAAAAACATATCTAAGAGCTTTGAGCAGCAGTCAGTGTTTGCTGAACGAGAGCCCTTAACCATGATTTTTAATTAGTATTGACAAAAACCTTAACACTAAGTTTATGTTGTTACTCCTCACAGCGGCACAGACAGCCAGGGCTCAGAGATCATCTATCCACAGCAACACCCAGACAGCATTAACTTGGAAACCAAACACAGCTGCAGAGGCTTCTCTGTGCCAGTGGCATCAGACAAAACCAAACAAACAAACCAGACCTCTTTTCGTAATTATTTTAACCAAGTCCAACCATTCCTTTTACAAAACAATGACACTTCAGGAGAAGGGAGCCAAAAAAAACCACAAGCAAGCAAAAATTTTTCAGGCAGACATATAATAAAACAAGCATTCAAATTTGATTGCTCTGTTGATCATCAAAAGCAACACCTACAAAGCTGCCTACAATCCACTGATAAATCTGGTATCTTCCCATGGCTATATTGCATATTAGCTTAAGACTATTCTGACCTACAGAGTAGCTGTTGAATTCATGCTTTGTATTGTGCTGAAGTAAGTCTTAAATTCATAAAGCAACATGAATTTTAATAATGCTGAGCAAGTCTTACTTGACATATCAGCTGGATTATTTTAAAAAAGATGGATCACCAAATACAATAGTATATAACCACATGTGCAGAAAATTGTACACAGCCCAAAGAGGTGGTTTGATCAGGTTTTTTAGGCAGAAAACAATGCAAAGCAAAGCAATTCAGGCTACATAGTTTTCTGAGTCCCTAAATCCTTACACAGCACAGACAAAAGTTCTGAGGTGATCCTGTGCCTTAATGAGGTCTCCAAGTAGTTAGGGTGCTGTGAATCATTCCTCTCCAAAACTTACTTTCATTGTCTTGTGAGTACAGAGGTTTGCAAAGTAGTTGCCATTCCTATACATTTCTTTCTGCTTCATTTAGAGGCTACCAAGATACCTTAAAATAATCTGAAACAGCTATGATATAGAAACAACTACAGCTGCAAAACAGCTAGAAAGAACCTAGAAAGAGCCGGGAGTGCTTGTTTTGCTGGGTGACAGCAAGGAGGGACATCCACTGTTTTGCACAGACAGAGAGAAGGCAGACATGACTGTAAATAAGAGCAAGTGCAGCACTTGCAGGGGACAGAAGTGGAAGATGGTTAAATTAACCTTTCTCAGACCACTTCAATGCTGACACATTCTAACATATATTTTTTTCTGCAATCTTCCCTCCCCTTCATCACATTTCTGAGCATTCTCTGCTGTGTCTAACCCAATGAAACCCTGACTGGGACCAGCAGAATCTGCTATGAATAGTTTGTACTCTAGTACAGCTGTTTGTGTAAGGATTAAATCTCATTATACCAGTCTGGGGGAACATACAGCATTTTCTTCTGGTCTGAGTTCAGGTTAAAAAACTTTTATATCTAAGTAGAATTCTGTCCCTCTGTTTCTTTCATCCTGGTTTGCAGTATTTAACAGCTTCCTACTATAGTGGAGTGTAACTCCTCCTACAGAACAACGGGCAGAGTAGAAAACAAAGCAGCTTTTCTTACCAAACTTTCCATAATCTTCCTGCAGACTTTCTTGTAGCAGTCCAGGGCAGTCAAAGCCTTGGTGACCTCACTGCTGAATGACAGTAACCCTGTGACCATTCCATTAATGTTATATGAACAAAAGTTCTGTAAGCTATTTGCCAATATTTGTTATTTAGAAGCATTTAAAAAGCCACCTTCACAGGAAGCCACATCAAAAAGAGACAAGAATGTTTCCTTGACCAATTGTTTGCTGTCCTCTGGTGCAACCCTGAAATATTTTGAAGTGGTTTGCTTATGACTCAAGAAAGGAAAAAATAAGCGAATAAAGAAGGAAAGATTAGAGTCAAAGATTTTGCAGTTGATGCAGTCAGCTGACATTCATGACCTCTTGTGCTATTTAAAACTAGACTGAAGGTGCAGAAGGCAAAGGCAGAGTAGCAGATGACTGGGAAGACTGATGAGGGAAAGAGAAGTTTCCAAAAGTGCACTGTGGCACTGGCATTAGTCAGGCACACAGAGAGCTTCCAGCTAAAGCAGCAATATTAGCATGCAGTGCCTGACTACATTTTCATTTGAAGCTCAGCAAGGCAGGCTCATTCTCTCCAGCAAAGTCAGGCTGATGCATTCTCCCAAGAATCATGTCTTACAGAAAAATAACCATGAAATATTAATCATTTCCTATTTAGAGCTACAACTGTCACAAAAGATGCAGCTCTCTCATGTACGACCTCTTGCTGAAGAACTGCATATGGAGCACAGCAAAGCTCCCGTGCTTCCTGGGCAGAGAAAAAGCCTGGAATGTGAGCAGGAGCAGGGACAGTGCTGAGTGCTGTGGCCAGAGCCAGCCCCGAGCATCCCCTGCCCACTGCCAGCTCAGCCCAGCTCCCTGCACCGTGTGCCCCGGGTTTGGAGCCAGGGAAATGCTGCCAGAGCCTGCTCAGAGCTCTGCACAGAGAGGCTCAGGATTGCCCCTCACAGCAGGGAGCACTGCCATCCCTGGGCAGCAATGAGCTCTGTCAGAATTCAGGACATCCCTGGGCAGCAATGAGCTCTGTTGGAACCCAGGACATCCCTCTGGCTGCCCTGGATGGCTCAAACCCTGCCAGGGGGCTCACAGACCTTGGCACAGAGCCCAAGACCCCTCTGCCTTTGATTGTGACCCATGGAAAAAATTACCAACCTTATATGAGGATCTACAAGCCACAAAAGTTTAAGTAGAATAATAGTTTGTCACAGGGTGAAAAGTAGAATTTTGGGGTTTTTAGAATAGGGGCTTGGGGTCCCCAAGATGGAGGAATTTGGGCATGCCTTTTCCTTCTTTCTCCTTCTTCCTAGCCTCCATCTTCTGGGTGATGATGGCACTTTTGGATTGGTTTAGGGTAGAGATGGACAGTCTAACATAGGTGATAGGAATTGGAAAATAATTGTAAATAATATACACGTAGTTTTTAGTATAAAAAGACAACACTGCCCTGAGGCCGGGCAGTGTGCCTCTGTCTGACCTGCTGAATGGACCTCAGCAGGCCAGGGAAAGAATGTTATAGATAACAGAAAATAAACAACCTTGAGAACCAGAACAGAAGAATCCTGACTCCTTCTTTGGTTGCTGGGCTGGGAAAAGAGACTGACACATCTCGGGGTCATCCTGACCACAGAGACCCCCGAGAGAACACAGCAGTGAACAGGAGGAGGGCACAGAAATCCCTGAGCGAGGGTTTGTGCTCAGAGCACACCCCTGGCACTGCTGGAGGATCTCCTGGAAGCTCCATGTGAGCCTGGGTGCTGTTCTTTCAGCGACTTGCAAGGACTGTCATTCAGGCAGAGCTGCAAATGATGAGAAATAATGTCTCTGCATAGCTGATAGGCAATCCAGAGCATGGAGCCATTTGCATAAAACACTCATTGTCATTTCACACATGCAGATCTCTGGCAGTCAAAACCTCACAGCCGATCATTCAGGCATCAAGGGAGAGAAATTAAATCAGCTGTTTGCCACAAATAACTCATCCAGTTGTGTCTGACAGGACACTGCCTCATCACTGGATACTGTCAGTGCTCCAAGGTATGACCTGTGCCCAGGACCTCAGGGCATCAAACCCTGTGTGACATCTGAAAACACACGCTTGGCTGCTGCAAATGGGCCAGGAAAATGAAATTTTTCACATGGGTCAGGGGGAAAAAGCACTCCCAAAATAAAGGTGATGTTTACCAGGCAGAATTGAGTGATCTAGACCACAAGAAATTAATTGTAATTGAATGTTTGTAGCTGGGACACTTTTGGTTTTGATGATAATTTTTTTCTATTATCAAATACACTCTCTGTCACATATTTAGTGAGTTTCTTATGATCTTTCTCAATAACAATTATATTTTTATCCGAAATAGAGCCTCCTTTTCACAATATAGCATTTCTTACATATGCAATTTCTTGAAGCCATGTTATTCTGTAGCACTTTTCCCTTCCTGATACAATGGAAATTAATTTTTAGACAGAATCAAGCCATCCAACTATTACCTCTGTTACCAGGAACTTCTTGGAGAGAGAGAGGGAAGCCATTTCAATGGAGCTGGCTTCTCCTGTTCCCAGCTTCTGTCCCTGCAAACAGACAGCTTTCCCTGCCCATCTCAGCCTGAGCATTAAGCATTCAAGACTGAGAGGCCCCTTTAATATTAAAAAAAAAAAATTACATAAAATTTTCAGCAGGTTTTGAGGGGGGTATGAAGGCAAACAACTCACAGGATAGAAAACTGCTCAAAATAAACCACGTGAAAAGAGAAATGTCACATAATAAAATGTACTGCGGCCCCTTGTACTGTGGCTGAAATCAGCTGTCTATGGCTTTGTACAGAACTTACCTGCAAAAATTTCTGTGTTCTACAGCATTGTGGCATTAGAGCAGCTCTAGCTCTGAAGCACAATGAATTTAACACAATTTAAAACCTAGTTGTTTACAGCCTAACTAAAGAACTTTTAATAATCTCATATCACAGGCTTTACATTTCAAGCTATACCACTGAAATCCAGTGGTGAGAACAAAATGGCCAGGTTCAGCTCTTCAGAGCAGTGAATCTTTTTCTCCTGATGTGCCATGCACTGAAAGGCATCAACACTGTAACAAATATTAAGAAATCTGTCACTTGCTATCATCCAGCTGGAAAGAACAAACTCCCCAGGGCTCGCTGTTGACAGCACTGAAAGGAAGAGCCTCACCTGGAATCACACTTTATTTCATCTCAGGGAATGCTTCAGTGTGCAGCCCTTCCCCTTCAGATATGGGCAACTGGCTGTTTTCTGCACTAATTAAAGGATGTTAAAATGAAATCAGCCACTTCTTATTGCCTGTCTCGCATTCTGTGTTCACAGGCATGTTGAAGCACAGCCAGGGGTGGCTAAATATTAACCATGAACAGCTGGAAAAAGAAAATCAATAATTTCTAGATTAGTTGCCTTTTATTTCCCCATTCTAGTGGCTAGAATTTCATGTGCCATTCACTTATTTACAATTCACATGGCTGAAGCACTCCTGGAACCAATGAATAACCACACACCCAGATTTCCCCCCTAAACTGAAGGATTGATGGGAGATGGAGCACTGGCTCCCTGTGGGCAGGTACATGTGTGTTTGCTGACAGGAATTAATGCTGGAACTAACCCAGCTCTGGGGATGCAGGGCTGGCCTGGCTCACCCCAGCAGGGTGCACAGCAGGCAGGGGCAGCCCCCAACATGGGCTCACTGTGGATGTGTCCCTGTGTCACTCCCAGGTGTTTGGGCTCACTGTGGATGTGTCCCTGTCTCACTCCCAGTGTTTGGGCTCTCTCTGCAGCACACTGCTCCTTTCCTGGTGCAGCACAGGAGGGAGGGAGGGGGCTGGACAGAGCTTTACAAACAGCCAGGGCTGCACTGTGAGCATCAGCCCCAGGTACCAGTGTGCTCACACACTGTGGGGGACCCAGAGCCAAACCAAGGCTGCCTGAGCCCACAGAAATACCTGAGCCCTACCCCAGCCTCACCCTGAGCCCCACACAGCCCCTGCACATCCATGTGCTGTCACATTTCACTGTCAAAGTACATCATGGCCTGTCCACAGACCGGGCTCTCCTACAGAGACAAAGCCACACCAGACCTGAGTCAGAACAGGTACAAGAAATGCCAGGAATTTCCCCAATGGCAACCAGACTCATCCACCACCTTGCTTTGCTATGGCCCTACCCATTGGCCCTACCCTAGCTCACAGCTAGGTCTGTTCCTGCCAGGAGCATCCAATGGAGCCCCAGAGGCAGAGATGGGAGCACAGAGACACTGGGGGTGCAGCCAGGGCGGGGTGAGCCCTCAGTGCTGTGCCCAGCAGCCCTGGGCAGTGCCAGGGGCAGGCACTGACAGGAGAGCAGCATTGCCTCTCCCAGGGTTTTGCTGCCTCAGCCCTGCCCCTCCCCAGCACCAGGAGTATCAGAAGAATTTCACCTGATTGGCAGCAGGAATGATGAGCAGGACTCCATGATATCAGAAGGCTAATTAATTACTTTATTACACTGTATTATTCTGTACTATATTACACTGCATCTAAGCTGAAACTGCACAAGTACTCAACTGAACAAAACCCTGTGACTGTCTCCTGACTGACAGTCTGGCCCTGACAGGCCAAGGAAATACCCCATCACTCTGGGTAAACAATCTCCACATTGCCCTCTACTTTGGCACAGCACAGGAGCAGCCAATGAGATAAGAATTGTTTGGATCGTTCTCTTCTCTGCTCCTCTCAGGTTCAGAGAATGTGAATCCCACACAGGGGAGCCCTGTTGTGCTTGCTCCCCCTCTGGAGCACTGAGCTGACTGCTGGGCCTCTCTGTCCACAGCACTGATCTGAGGTTTCCTCCGCACAGGAACCACTGGGAGCCCAAGCGCAGGATCACTTGCTCAGAAATGCACCACAGCTGGCGTGATTGAGGCCTGCCAGGGAGGACAGAGCAGGGTGATAATGCATGCTGTCCCCACTGTGTGAGAGCCAGCCAGCACAGCACAGATGGATGGCTGCTGCCTCTGACAGGCACCACCAGAAATCCTATTTCAGACAAGTCAAATCCATCCATTCCAGCTAAACACCCAAACATCCCAGCTCGGCAGCTCCATCTCCTTACTGACAACAGTGAAAGAAAACAGCTCAGATATCAGTCACACAAGTTTCTTTTTGCTGTTGGCAAGTTAAGAAAGCGTGTTCAAAACAACAGTAAATAATCTGCCTAACAATTCAGAAATATCTGCATTGTTTTGTGCCTCTGTTACAGCATTAATCTCCCTGGAGATCCTTCAGTGGCACGGACTCACTCAAAAAGCAGTAGTGCAAAACCCCACATGGCACACAGGCAGCTTGTTTGTCACACAGGCTGCTCTCTGGAGCCCAGGGTCTGAAATGCATCAGGATAACACAGGAAACAAGATCAGCAGCAGTGTCTGCATCTGCCTGATAGCAGCACACAGAATAAGCACAAATTAAGAAACACAGGGCCTGCACTTGGCTATGTCACAGCAAAGGTTATCTTCATGCCAGCTTGTCACCTGGATTGATTCTAATGCCTGGTAAGTCTCTGCTAAGGGCACAGAGCTACCCATCTGCAAACAGGAGAGAACACAATCTCTACATTCCCAGGTACAAAATGTTTCCAGCTCAGGTGGCTTTCCCTGTTGATGAAGCTGAGTCACACAGGTGCTGGGGGTGCACATGGAGCTGCTCTCAGCCCCCAGCTTCTCTCACGTTACCAGAACAAAGGGTCAATAGTCACAGAAACTCATTGCTCCTGCTGCAATGGGAGAGGTGAAACCAAGAGTGATTCTTGCTCCAGGGGAATTCTTGCCTTTATTACCAACTGAAATCACAGAGAGTGACCACTGCCATTTAAAATCCTCTCTCTGTGCTTTAACTTCTGTTCCCATGGGGGGATTTTCCCACTGCTGCAGTGGAACTCCACGTTGCTCTGCCACTGTAGTTCAGCAGCACGGCGAGCACTGGGAAGCCATCCTTGTGAGGATGACCCTCCTCAGACTCCCCTC